TATCATTTCTGACTGGGTATACACGTATATACATTTCTATTATGTACATATTATATATGTTATATTATAACATTTATATAAATATATTAAAACATGAACATATCTTTTGCTTTTGAAGTAATTTATAATACATTATAATTTTAAAATAATCTTATAAATTAAAATTTTACATCAGTTATCTTATTTTAATCTAATTAAAATTTTTCTCAGTATTTTTATATAAATTGGAACACTATTTCAAATACTAAAAAAGTTTTTTTGTAAAATTTTTATATACAGGGTGTTCAACGTAACGGTCCGCACAATTTTTTAAACATTTCCGACAATTAAAAAAAAGGTTGTAAGGTGATTATCCATCTATTTCATGTGGGCTACAACATGCGATAAAAAAATTAAAAATACATTTTTTTTAATTAAAAAATCAAGGTTATCTTGAATTTTTTAAATAGCACCATACAATTTTTTAAATAACACCATACAATTTTTTTTCATAATATTGTAGGAATCTTCAAGTGAATTCAACGCACTATCGAGATTGTAACTTTCATTGATGTTTTACTGATTTTATTACAATATTTATCACAAATACTCATTAATAAAGGAATATTTATGTGAACTTATTAACTTATGTGAACAAATTTTATTGATTTTATTAATATTTAACTTTTATAGAGGGTTGGACTGGACACTATAGTGGCCAGGGGAAAACTAGTTGACTTCTCGTGAAAGAAAAAATCAACTCTAATACTATTTTTATTCAAAATTATCTTTGAAAATCGTGTTATAAGTACATATGGATCAGTTCGATGGCCGGCACGTTCTCTGGATCTATCTCCGATGGATTTTTTCTGTCACGAGGAGTCAACGAGTTTTCCGCTGGCCACTTTAGTGTCCAGTCCGGCCCTCTACAAAGGTTAAATATCAATAAAATCAATAAAACGTCAATGAAAGTTACAATCTCGATAGTGCGTTGAATTCGCTTCAAGATTCCTACAATATTATGGAAAAAAATTGTATGGTGCTATTTATAAAAAATACAAGATAAGCTTGACTTTTTTATTAAAAAAATTTTTTTTTAATTTTTTTATCGCATGTTGTAGCCCGTATGAAATAAATGGATAATCATCTTACAACCTTTTTTTTTTAATTGTCGCAAGTGTCTAAAAAATCGTGCGGACAGTTACGCTGAACATCCTGTAAACAAAAAATATTTTAAAATTTCTTATTTAATTACTTCTAAAAAAATACCTTAACTTTTTCAGCTTTTATAAGATTTCATTAGAAATTATAGAATGTGAAATCTGATCAAATATGATTAAGAGCATTAATTAATGAGCTCTCTTTAATTGCGCGCGTTATCTTTATCAAGATTCTCTTACAAG